ATTTAAGGAAAAAATTCTTTCAGAGTTGAAATTGCAATTGTCCTCCTTGCGAAAGATAAAGATAGGTTCAGAGGTTACCAAGCTCGTAAAAGAGGAAATGAAAGCAAAAATTCAAATCGAAGCCGAACTATTGATAGAAAATGATACCAAGAATTTATTATCGGACTACGACAAAATAAACAAAGAAATTCACGAAAGTCATACTCAGCTAAGTGGCTTAAGAATGCCATATAGTATCGAAAGCAACATACCATTTTCTATTTTCTTGCTAGAAAATCCAGAGTATACTTCTGTGGCGTGTGTTACAATAGGTCTTCTTTCAGGGTTGCGCTTTGGGCCCGATGTAGGCGCCTTAGTCTGTTCTAGTTGTTGTATTGTTATTGCGTTTAAATACTTGAAAGACATGAAACCATTTATGGAACTACCAAAAGAGGCAATCGCGCAAAAGGCTTTAGCAGAATGTATATCTAGCTGTGGCAAAAGTGACATAAGAAAAATGCTTGTGACAAAGTGACAAATGCTATGGAACTTGGTATCGCAAAACAAGCTCTCTCTTATTCAGTGAAGTTATTCCAAATGAAATTAAAAACATGCAAAAATCCATAAATGGAATCGAACACGAAATCGCTGTTTTGAAGTCCAAACAACACGAATTGGAGAACCTGAAGTAAAAAATTGATGAAGTGGGAAAAAAATTAAAAGCCTGCTTTAAACTTCTGTATGAATGACATGCAGTATATTTTGTGTCAACAATTCTTGAGGGAAGGGATGTGATAATTCGATTGTGAATAAACAAAATTGAAAACGGTGCTTCTATCTTAAATTATATTTGAGGACTGTTCATGCAATTCTCATATAGTAGTTTATATCAACATAATGATTAACTAACAATTAAGAAGGTGAAATATTTTTGTAATGGTTTCGGAAATTGTACAATGGCATGTAGAAATTGTATTTGTGAAGAATATTTTTACAATTTTCAATAATTAACAAAAATGCATGTTTTACTTTAAAGATTTTCATTGTATTTTGAACGTGTTGTATGAAATGTAAAATGCAGTTCTGTTCCTGTTTTTAAAAATAGCTTCCCATCTGAATGAAGAAATTTTATAAATCATATACCTAGTAGTGTATATGTGTATTTGGGATCTAGAGCCAATATACTACTTTCTTTGTCCGTTTCCAAGGAACCGTCTCGTCCTCGAATTTTTGACCATTATTTCTGATTAATTGGTATATGGTTTGGGTTACATCTTGTATTTATTTAGTCGTAGAAAGATATTGTTTGATGTGATGCAGGGTTATTCAAAACTTATCATAAGTACACCATTTAGAAAGATCAATGTATACCATGTGGAAAAAAAAATAAAAATACAAGAAATTTTTTTTATCATCATAAGGAATGACCAATTACATGTACATGTATAAGCAATTTCCTTTTTTATGATCAAAAGTTAACATTCTTGGTGAACTTCAAAGTAGTGCATTATTTTAATGTTAAAAGTTCTCTTTCATGCAAAAGACAAAATTCATACATTCTCACAAGTGGTGTTTTGGCTGTATAGATTAAAACAGCGTTTTTTGTATGTCAGTATAAGTTTTTGGCAGATCCACTTCCAGGATTGTCAACTTATCATATGTAAATTATTCTCCATGGTATCGATAAAGCCTTGTTTGTTTAGAGATAATTTGATAACTTACGCTGTCAAACATATTTCACCTTTATAGTTGTGATTTTGTAATAACTCTATGCCACACTTTTAAGTGTTTAGTTATGTCGTAGCTTTCGATTAGGTGGTTTTGTTCATGTTAATTGTGTTAACATAAAACTATAATAAAAAAAAATATAGTATTTTTACATCTTCCACTACTTGAGAAAATGATTTTTAGTTCTGATTGGATCTGATAGCGTTTTGTATCTGACCTCCTTTGCTAGGTTCCTTTCGACGCCTAGACTTTCAGTTCCTGTTTCACTGTTATTATTCTTTTTTATATTTTTTTTCTCATTATACAGAGATATTTTAAATTTTACTGCTTTTAATGCGACTGCTAAAAAGGCAATACGATTACCATATATATAGTTTACCTTATGAGAAAAACGTTCTGCAGTATGAACCACATGGAAGTAAAATAATTGAAAAGCAAATAGCAGTCTTTTCCACTAAAAAATTCTGAAGTAGAAATACTTGAATACTGAATATTCATATTCTTTAATATACCAGTGTGCGTAATTTTCAACCGAGCTGAAAAGAGGGGGCAAGCAATGTCCTACCCCTCTCTCTCTCTCTCTCTCTCTCTCTCTCTCTCTCTCTCTCTCTCTCTCGATTAACAGGTGATTTGAGGATTACGCATCCCCTGTTGACCGGTCAAACCCAGCTTAAGTCCTACATTTTGTAAGGTATTCAGAGTAATTAATTTCAAAATAATTACCTAAATTGACATAATAACCGTATTTTTGCTTTTATCGCAATTGTTGTCTTTAATTAATCGAGGTTGTTGTAATCCCCACACCCTATACTTATTTGTCAGAACCCTACCCCTCACAGCATCCTCTTGTGTATCAAACATGTCAAGGAATATTAAAACCACAAGCAGATAATAATGGAAAATTAATACAAAGAATTCAAAATGGATGACTTTTTAAAATTATCACTTCATACCGGTACATCCAATTTCAAAGATAAAGACCAAACTTTCTTTGCAAAGTCCATTCTGTTCTACTCTGAATCTAGTATTGAAAAGATTTTCAGTTCGATTTCGATTTTCACACCGTTCACGGTTGCTCAGTCGGTAGAGCGCCCGCTCCGTGATCGGGAGGTCGTGAGTTCGTATCTCGGCCGTGACTGACCTAGTCGTTAAAATGGGTAGCAACTGTTCCTTTGCCATGCGCTCGGCACTTTGAAGTAAAAGTCGTGGGTCCTTCGGTTGAGACCTAAAAAACCGAGGCCCCATGTCAGCGGCAGGCGTTGGCACAATAATGATCCCTCACTGCTCAATGGCCCTGAGTGGCGAGTAAAGATCATATGGTGACGTCTCCATATGAGTGAAAAATTCTCAATAAATCAATCGATTTTCTCAATTACAACATCTTTCTAGTCTTTGAAGATCATGTTTTCTCGCTGTCTGTAGTGTACAAATCCCTAAGGGTCTAATTGTGCCCGATTATAAGCAGAGCACTTTTGTATTATCATACATACATTATATTGATCATAAATGATTATTTTTTGTACATGAAGAGGCCTTCAAATCGGCATTAAGATATATCAATGAAATTTTTAAAAAGACTGATTGTCGTCCCTACGTTGATTTGATATATGTATAGCTGCGTGTAGCTGAAAAAAAGAGAGAATGGCAAATCAGCATGTTTGTGGACCAGTAGTTCTTCATGATATTAAAAAAAATTCTGAATATTTCAATGGAATTGGAATTCTCTTAATAGTTCTTTGGTGGACCTACCCTACTTTGGGGGTCATGCATTGAAAAATTATTATCTACATGTCGAATAGTTTGTACTTACTTTTTATTTTTAAGGTTAGCATATAAATAATGCTAAAAGCTTTATGTTATGCTACCAACAGTCTTACACAATCGAATGCTTCATTTAAGTGCTACCCACAATCTGTTTTGCAATTTCTAGGGTTTTTCTGACCTTATAACAGCTTAATGTCTTAGGTGGTAACTCAATAAGAAATAAAGAAGAATGGCTTTTAATGTCTCGTAAATGAACTTGTAAATATTAATCATCACATTCTACCATTTACTAATTTATACGTTTAACGTGTTTGCATTGGGAACTTGATTATATTCTTACTTGACTATCTGAATAAAGGATAAAAGCATATAATGAGAGTACACTCCAGGCACGTAGTATCAGGGGGGGCCAGGGGTCCTGCCCCCCCCCCCCCACTTTTTACCACAGTATATACATAGCAAGAAATATAGGAAAAAATTAGAAGTGAAAGGAACTTTGCCTTGGAAAAAGTTGGCCACTACCACCACCCCCCCCCCCCCTCCCCCCACGAAATAGGATTTTCGAGTTTGGGGAATATTCAATTGAGTTTATTTATTTTTTTTTTTGCTTGTCAACTTTTCTTAGGTAAGTAAAAAAAATTTTCTCAGGTTGCCCCCCCCCCCCACTTTCAAAAACGAAGCTACGTGCCTGTACTCAATACCTCGAAAATACCGAATCCCTTCGTCATAAAAAATATTATTAAGCTTCCTGTCAGTTTGTCTCTATATAACCCATACCCTACTATTCTCACATAGTGGTCTAAGGATTTATATAGCGGAAACATACTATGCCGAAATAGTGCACGGCTTTATTCTTCAATACACACGCTGGGGATTGAACTCACGACCGTTAGATAGTCAGTCCGATGCCTTATCGATTACGCCACAAAGACGATCAGTAATTGGTAAAATTTTATAAAATATATAAACTTAATTTATACAATTGACACAAGAAGGAAAAAATAGACAAATTTTATTTGAAAACAGTTAAATTATTTTAAGGAACCTTAGATTAATATGTACAACAAAGTTTCAAACTAATTATATACAGATCGTTAGATGAACTGATTTCGTAGGGTCATTAAAACGCTTTTTTATATGACGCTTGATTGAAGGATGTTAAAGACAATTATCAATGAGAATCGACGTCTGCAAACAAATAAGTCTTACAAATAAAACATACAATTAAGATGAGTTGCTTTGGGACAGAAAATTCTGACTTATTTAGAGAAAATACTAGTAACCAAAATAACTAAGCATGCAACCAATTTTAGCATAAAGATTTTGAACGAGTTCTTGCAAGTGCGCTGTGTTATCACCAATATTTTCAGGAAAAATTCAAACGGATTATCGAATAAATAATTACAACAGTCAGCATAATAATAACAATAGTGTTGCATTACAGTGTATGCATGTACTATGCCTAAAACTCCGGCTCGTGCACCATGTGTCAAACCCTGCCTACTATTTAGGCATAGTACATGCATAATGCAACACTATTATATAAATATAGTCAACAATAGTTAAATCGTATCAAAGCCTGAAATACCTGTTTCAAACCTAAATATTTACTGAATTAAAAAAAATATGGCTAACTAACAAATACACTGAATGACAAATGAATTCAACTTCTCAACTTTCCTTTTATGCAGTAATGTCCCAGGCGTTTGTTTTATGGACTTCCCAGTTTGAAAAGCAGGTAGGTCTTAAATGATAATGAATATCTGTCCGTCTAGCTTTACGTCCGTCTATCCATCCGTCTGTTATGCTTCGCTTTTACCACCGAATTTTCCAAAGAATCATTGTTACAAAATGTGCACCTCCAATTTTTGTCTTTGAAAGAGACTTAATATCATGTCACAAGTTTAGAAAAGTGTATAATTCTTAGAGTTTTTTCTCCTAAGAAGTGAAAAATAAAATACATATAAACTTGGAAAATACTAGTAATCATTCAATGAACGATGCATGATTCAAAAATTCCACGAGTCGATCTAAAATCGTTACTATTGGTCCACCATTAAAATGTTGTTGATTCAGAAATTCATAAAATTTCATCATTTAACAACTGATGGTCCAGACCCTGGAAATATTTTATACCAGATTACATCTCGCATGGTTTATAGCACAAACAGCATCAAACATGCATATCAGAAGATCTACTTCCTACTTGGATTTAAATTTTCACCTTCTGGTACACTTTCCTCACCGCGTCCTCTATTTTTGAAGCACTAAAATATAAAAAAAAATTCAGTTGAATATGTAGTATATTTCAATGTTTAATTGCTGATGGTGAAAACTGGAAAGCAGGACCTTGAAATAATTTACGATTGTTTCTAGTTGATATAAGGTGGTACTCGATACAATTAAATTTATACTGCCATATGTTAAGCAATGCAATGCAACAGGTGTTTATTACAATAATTCATCTTTGGCACTTAGACAATGTTGTACTACATTTGCATTAGAGAATCAAAAACTATAATAGGATTCAAAAATTTATTTTTCAAAAGGGAAAGAAGAGCATTGTCAAATTGTTGTATCCTTCCATGTATTAAGTAGCCTCATAAACCCTATGGGTCATTTAAGTGTATGTATATGTACCAGGTGTATACTTACCAATAGCTTCTTTTTTCGAAGGATCAGAAGTCCTACTACTACTACTATTCCCACTACAGCTACTAAGAAACTAGCTACGATTATTGTAACATGATCAGATCTAAAAAGAAAAATTGGCATGGTCTATTAAAATATGATGGCCCTATCAAAACAAAGATAAACATTATTAAAAAGGGGTTCACGGGGCATATGGGATCACATAAGAATCATGCATGCAACAGCTTTCCAACAATTGAATGAATGGAATGGACAAAAACTATATTCCCTTGAATCTTCGAATCATGGATTATGGGAATACAAAAAATTAAATAATATACCCTTTTCCTCCAGATGTTGTTAAAAGACAGTTGGCTCCAAATGAGGGGGGTGGTGATATGGTGCAGTTTTTGATCCACTCAGCAAGACTAAAATGCCCTGGGCAAGTGGAACCACACTCTCCATTTCTGTATTGAATTTTGTATGATCCCTTTCCCCCATTCCACTCAGGGCATCCATCTGAACCAAATAAAGGATGATTAAACTCATTTATACTAAATACTCAGTAAAATACTAACCGACTTGTTCATAAGGACTGGAGTTATTACTCTGATTTGATATGCATATCTAGTAATATGAGGGAAACAAGGATTTTCCAAATTACTATGTCTCTGACAAAAATTATCTTGGAACACTTAAAACACTTTATTGTAATTTATAATACACTTGAAATACGGGTTTCTTCAAAATGTTATGTACCTAGCATCTGATATCGCAAAGGCTTGATCAGATTCCAGGGCTGAGACAAATTTAAATCACCCCCACTAGAAATTAAATCTATCAAAATACAAAAAGAGACAAAACATTTACATTCTCTGCTTTTTTAATTACTATTCTTCGAAAAAAGAATAGTCACTGATTATTTTTTGCATTTATAAAAGTAGATGTGCGCTGTTTTTTTATTGATTAGTATATAATAGTCATTAGAAAACATACCCTTTTCCACATCACATCCCGTGTCATCTGTCGACCAATATCAGTCCTCGGGCCTTTGTGACTCTGGCTGATATTTGAGTCTTGGATTGAAAGATAGTTAATGTGATAAGGAAAAAGGGTTTGTATTATTTTCTGTAGTTACGAATCGCGATCGAGAGACATTTCAGTATTACAACATGTATCATAGTAACAAATCAATATTCTCCAATTTTTGTGTGATTTAAATTTCTCGTTAAGGTTCAATTCTACCAAGACATATTCTTTTAATAGGTCACTTTAATTATGACAATTTTTGTACAGTATATGTTTAATTAAAACAGACCTAGAACTAAGCTTAGTTTATTAAAAGTATATTTTCCTTCTTGATTTCTATAAACAGTATGAACATGAGGAAATAAATATTAAGAAATCAGATTATCCAAGTCCTGTTGTTTTACATGTAGGTAATTTTTTAAGTACATATTTTACGAGTTTTCAAAATTAAACTTTGACCTATTGTTTGTGGACCCCCTAAGGGTCTTGTTTTGAGCAAACATGAATGCACTCTTCAACAGAAGATTTTATATATATATTTTTCTGAACAAAGTTAATTGTTATTAAACAGAATTGTGAAAACACTACCCTCCATGCTTTGCCCTTTCTTGATTATTTCTCAATACATGAGGGTATGACTCTTCATTGATAAAAAATGCTTTATAACAAGTTAGATTGATAATGATCCAGTGGTTTCTACAGAAAGAGTCAAAAATTCAAAACGTCAACAAATGAATAGACAGTTAGAAAGATAGATGTTAAAGTCATAAAAAAACAGCGTAAAACCTTTGATCAGGTGAGCTTAAAAAAGTGCACCTCCCATGAATTTTAAACGAAGATTTTACTAACCATTTATGCAGATATTTGGAGCACATCCTACTGCAAATTGTGTAGTCGGGAAAATATTCAAGCACACAGATATATTATTGCCTTGGCAGTTGAGTTTGTAGAAATCACACGTTTCACAAGGTTTGAGAGGAGTAACATTTCCAACTTCAAGTGTAGCCTCTGGTATACACGGCTCCTATGAAAAATTTACTTTAAATAAAATAAGTTACAATGCTCAAAAATTATTTCATAGAAAGTGATTCAATTCAACATTCAATTTTTATTCAGAGTATACATCATATTTTATCTTGGATATCAGTGGCTTAAGAATGCATTTTATTATGTTGTTTTTAATAATCTCCTATAATTTAATCTTTTTATTATGATAATGTTGATAAATATCCCCATAAGCATGTTGCATTGGTCTTGCAAATTTATAATAATTCATTTCAAATTTTTATGTTACATTATGTTATATCTTTACCTATTGTAACCTTTAGCGAAAGTTTAAAGTATCAATAATATCGTGCTGATTAAAATTTCACACTCAATATTACCCGGTATATAACTGTTCCGGGTTTTGCCATAATGTTACATCTTTATCTAATGTGACCTTTACAGAAAGTTGGAAGTATCGATAGTATGGTGCTGATTAAATTTACTTCTAACTATTAAACAATTGTTCCTTTTTCCTATAATGTTACATCTTTATCTAATCTACATTTTTAAACAAAGTTACAGTGACAATAATATGGTTCTGATTAAATCTGATCCTCAATAAAATTTAATTGTTCCGTTCCTTTCAATATTAGAAAAAAAGAGAAAAGCTTTTAATGAAGGCTTAACTGTAGAATTTGAGTTAGAGGATTACTGAATACATATTCTTTAAGACATGCCAGCATTAAAGTCAGACAAAATTTAAAAGGAAGATCTCACCTGAGCTAAAAAAAAATATATCAAAAAAATACTGAGCAGGTTAAGTTAATTCATTAAAGATTTCCATCCGATCACTTTGATGAGTGAAAAAATCACAGTGAAAAAATGAAATACTGATAAAGTATTTTAAGATGGTGCCAAAATAAGCTTTATGCTACATTTAATAAAAATCATTGCTGCATTGTGAAAATTTTCATATGATTTGATACTGATTTTTCTTTAATGACTTACCAAAACACAATGAGACCCATGGAAAACAACGCTCACCTGAGTAGCTTTGATTATGCTGTTTTTCACCAGATTTCCCCCTCGTGATAACCATTGTGGTCCTGCCCTACGTGGATTCATGATTGGGACAATTCAAAATTCATATTACCCCAGGTTGCTTCAAAATAGGCTTCAGCTTTTCTGGCTAAGATGTACTATAAAAAGGATTTTTTCAGAAGATTTTCCCCTAGAAATCCCGGAGGGGTTAAGATTTGAACAATTTTTATTTTAAAATCCTATATATCTCAATGTAAACACGGATTCACTATTGTGCCCCCGCCTCTGGGGGTCATGTTCGATCAATTTGTATTCTATACTGTCCAAGATGTTTACATATATGCTTTTCTGGCCCAATAAATTTTGATGAGATTTCACAAATGTTCCTATATATTTCAATGTAAAACTTGAATTTCCATATTTTGGCTCTTTCCTACCCGCGGTCACAATTTTAATAATTTAGATTCTACAGTTTGAAGGATGCTTCCACATATGAAGTTTAAGCTTTTATTGAGAAGACTATTTTTAAAGATTTCTAATTTATAATTCAATGTTGAACTTGGGTTCCTTACCATGCTACAGGCAGCATCCTTCCTCTTGAGGTCCTGATTTGATCAATTTAGGAATTTCAATGCCCCACGTTGGTTTTAGTTTTTCTGACCGAGTGGTTCTTGAGATATTTTTTTTTAATGTCTGCATTCTATTTTTTCTTTCTAAGACTCTTTTTAAAGGGGTTCGGTCTTTCATTTTAACAATTTACATGTTAACTCTACTTCACCATAGGATATGCTCTTTACTAAGTGTGGTTAGAATTGTGGAAAGTTTACAAACGGACGGAAAATGAACAGCATGTACAAAAGGTGATCAGAAAAGATATTTCGAGCTTTCATTTCAGGTGAGCTAAAAACCTTATATATATATATATATATATATATATATATATATATATATATATATATATATATATATATATATATATATATATATATTTGAATCTTTTTTAAATTGTCCGAATTCCACCGAGTCTAAATTAATATATTTCCGGAACAACAATCAACTATGCGTACGCAGATGTAATACTAAGCTGGTGAATAGCTTGTTTGTCGTGTGAATTTCATTTCAATTCTTCACATATGAAATTCTCAAAATGCCTCATTAATTTGAGTACACAAAACTCCATTGACAAAAAACTAATAGACAGGGTCATTTGACCTCTTCTAAAATACTTTTCCTGCTCTATACACACTGTATCTGCATGGTTACACATACTAAAGTATTATTCCGCTTCTTTTAGTACTTACTGCGTATGACCTAGAGATCACCAAAATGATTGGTACTAATACATGTTGCATGGAATGAGTCAGTATGGAAAAATATCCAATGATGATTGCTACAACTACAGCTATTGGAAGCTGAAATAGCCAAATCAATTTCTGGTGGAAGAATGGAAAGTCTTCATAAGACTTTGCTGCTCCATACTTTGATCTTTCTGATGTGTTTTCATTTTTATTTTCATTCTTCATGATGAACTCTACTTAAAAAAACCAATGTATAAACATTTTTCTACTGATTCTAAAGAGCAAAATTAACTTACATCTACGAAATATATCTTATGGGTCTTCAGCTAAACTGGTTTGTACTTAAGGTAGGACCAAATAGATAGGTCAAATGTTTCCTCAAATGCAATTTTTCTGAAACTTTGATATTTTGTTCTTGGATACAAAATCTCTCTTTATATATGATATGAAAGAAATTCAACCGCACATTTTTTGCCCATATAATCTGAAATATGGCCTATCAGACCCCTATAAGAAGATTGTGAAATCAGACATTAGACTTGAGAATGAGCATTATTTTAGAATTTTCTATTGATCTATTGCACATTTGTGTAATACTTTTAATAAAGATAACCTTTTTGTTACTTCAAATTAGTGAGTCACATTGATACTGGAAAATTTGAATAAAATATTAAGTAAAATAGAACATACATTGTGTCAAAAACTGAAAATTCAGATGTAAATATCCGACAGTTTAAGTTTTCTTAAGACAAAATGTATAATTCAATTGATTCAATTGGGTCTTAGAATAAAATGTGTAAAAATAAAGAAAATTGAACCGGTGGTTTCAGATATTTTGGCGATTAAAAAAAATTCAATGGCAAAAAAACTAAAAGATTCAGTAGATGACGTCACAATATTTGACCTTTGACCTCTTGATATGACCTTGACCTTTGTAGTACATAGAGGATGGAGACTCCTTATATATGTTTCTAAATATCACCCCTCTACTATTTATGGAACAAAAGTTGCACTGAATTTTATAACAGACTGTTACATGCTTGTTTATTGCACTTAAATAGCGTAAACTCATTCCAAAATGTAAGCTCCCAAGTTACCAATATATAGGATTCTCTGATTTTTTCACAAAATATAATGGAAATATGCCAAAACTTATTATTTTTCTTTCAGGTATCGTTCATTGTTGTTAATAAAGTAATATTTTTCTTTTTTCCTCCAGTACTTCTTAGTAAATGGGTTAAAATAGAATCCACGGGTGTTTTGTCCTACCTTAAATAAAAGAAAGAGAAAATTGACATTGAAACAAATTTTGTGGTTAATAATCCAGAACTTTTCTAAACTGTACCAGATTTTGCTGCAATCAAAATTGTTGGAAGAGTAGCATTTGGAAGAATTTCAACCATCACTAGCATTTTTAAATGGTAGCAATGACAACATCTGTTAACTAGTAACTATACTTGTTTACTTCAGATTTAAGTAATTGAAACTAAGCCTTAACCACTGCAACGTTTTGATCAAACTTTTAATACATGTCTGTACCATGCTGCAGTATGTTAAATAATTCCTTCTCTAGGCCATAGGGTTTTTACAAGTGTTTATACGCAGTGTATGTGGTTTGACCAGTGGTTAGAGCGTCTGGACGTAGTGTACGAAATTGATACATACATTTTATGGACTTTTGATTTTGAATTCTTTTCGTTACCTCCATATGTTTCATCCTTATGTCGCGGGTTTTCGAATCCCACATTGGGACATGAAACCGGTCCTTCGGATGAGAGCGTATAAACTTATGGCCCGTGTCGCATTAAGGGTTGGCATGAAAAAGATCTCTCACTGCTCAATGGCCCTGAGTGCCAAGTATAGGGCAACATTTGTAGCTCTCCACCAGGAAGTGGTGGCGCCTCCATATTAGTGAAAAATTCTCGAGAGGGACGTTCAACAACAAACAAAACAACCATGATGTAAGTCATTGACTCAACCTGGATGAGACACCTGCCAACATTCACTTTCCTTTTAAAAAGCTTTGACAACGTATACACAGTGGTAAAGTCCAAAGACAGAAAATTGGACAGCATCATACCTTGATATCCATCTATAGACAATTATTATAAGTTTCATTTAAAAGGAAGGTAAACAATAAAAGCTTTGAAAAATTGTGTACAGTCATGTACCTTTATCTGGCTTTTTGTCTGTGTTCAGTGTCCCAAACCCTTCTTGGATATAACACTCTGTTCCTTCTAAATTGGTGTCATTCATCGTGTCCTCTTCTTCTGGCATTTTATTGTAGAGGATTTCTTCAGCATTTTGTGGAGATGAAGGAACCGTAATTGATAGAGGCTCTACAGATTCAAAACACTCAAATGTTTCTAACTGTATTCCATTTATTGTGTCCTCATCCTCTGGCAGTTTATTGTTGAGGATTTCTACAGCAGATTTTAGAGATGAAGACACCGAATTTGATGACTCTACATATTTAATATTTATTTTTATTTGATATTTCATAAATTCATTCATTTTATCATAAAGCAATTTTATTTCACCATTAGCGAAGGAATATAAAGAAAAGAAGGTGTTACAGAAACTTGCGATTACTCCCTATGTATCGAGAAGGACATTTAAATACCTGCACTATAACTAAAGAATTAATCGTTTAAACGTCCACATTTGGCCCCCCGATAATTTACAAAAAATAAGTTTAAAGATTTCCTACATATTTTTTTCTTAATCTTTTCATCAAACATTGTAGTTTATTAATTTCATTTTCAATTTTCACATACTTGCACTGTAATTGGGTATTTATCTGATTAATATAGCAGAGGTACGTTGTTTACATCGATTTCCCATAGACTTTAGGCCATACCCCCATTTTGAAAGCCCAATTTTTATATGAGCGCATTGATGTTTCAAGTTGTAGTAAATAGGGTCAATGTAAAGAGTTAAACTTGTCATTTTAATTCATGAAAGAAATTAATTGAAACATTCGTGCGCTCACATGTTATTTTCCAAAAAAAGTGCAAAATCACGGGTACCTGTCTCTATAGTAAAGGCACCTTGTTTACAAATTTCAACCCGCCGTTGACCTCATGCATAACAAAGCATTGAACACGTGACTCAAATCTATTCACTTTCATGCTTTGAGCAGATCAATGCGACATCGTGTCCAGTGTTGCGAGCTATCGATGGTCAATTCCTTTTCAAATTGGTAATTAGAATTTAAAGTACCATGGGATAAAATTTAGAATTTAAAGTACCATGGGATAAAATTTCTTTAAAACGGTTTATTTAAGACTTGTTCACAGTTTTGATTTACTTGTTATTTCAGTCAATTTTGTTTGATTTTTTTCCGGTATATATCAATATATTTTGAAGGCTTGTAGCATAAAGCTAATACAGTATTTGAAAAAAAATACTGCCAGAGGGTATATATATTATCAATTTGCATACATGTACATCACATCAGCGTTACGTTCATTGACTCTTGGAAGATAAAAAAAAATTACGATCGTTATTTGAAAAAATACCAATTTATGATATCTTTAGAAAATAAACCGTTTGTTACAATTGCTTAATTCCAATTAAAGAATCCTTACGGAAAAGAAATTGATGTGTGAGGCATTTAAAAAAAGATTTATATATCGTATGAAAAACATTACACAAAATGCACCCCTACATGTAATTAATTATAAATTAATAGAGGGAAACTCCGGATTTCATCTGACGACACTACAAATGTTATAACTTTTTAATTACATCGGCAGAAAATCTAACAACAATGAAAGATTTAAATATAAATATTAGTATGTAACAAAAAAACGAATGATAAAGGGCAAATTTTTTTTTGAAATGGTTCATTGTTTATCTCACTAGAGGACGAGAATTTATTTAACAATGCAATCTGGAATGTACAAAGTACACTTGTCTAACACTGAAGGTTTTTTTTTATATCCAGCAACGATAATATTGACGTTAAACTGACGTTTAATTTTCACTTTCTTGCGAATTTATTTTTCATACACAGAGTGAAGTTTTATATCACAATTCAACCGCATTTGTTGTAGCACACCAACTTCGCAAAATTATATATATGTACATGATATGAAATAATTATTCACGTGATTGTAAAAAGCAAGTTAATTATAAGCTTTCATGGATTGATTTTTATCTCTATCAAAATAAAGTTTTAAGTGTGAAAAAGAGTGAATCCTGCATTATACGTTCTATTCACAATTCCATTGTGTATATTTATATATAAATAATTTGACGAATTTCTAATATAACTCGTAATTTAAGCAGAAAAAAAATTAAACCTGACAAATTAAAAAAAAAGGATGCTTATACACTGTATGAGTTCAGTCTCTTGCACTAAAAAGGGCTTTTAGGTGTCACTTCATCATAAAATGTAGTACACTTCGAACACACGCTAATGTATTCATACTAATCGCACGCTTGATAGACGCCCCGCCTTCCCATGCAAATGCTAATACTACAATGGCCTATATATAACGAATGGCGAAGTTTTACTGTGAAATATGCGACTTTATTTAATCGATATCATGTATATATTAAAAGTCTCTTTCCTAAAAAATTCTTTATTAGTATCTATACAGACTATACTTGAAGACTTTAGCTATAAGATAACAATGTTCTTATTTAAAAGGGTAAAATTCTGCATTTAAAAAGGGGCGAGATTGCAGTGTTAAGAGGATTCTTTCTTTATTACACACTTAGTAATAAATACATAGAGAATATTACATACTAAAATCCATATCATATGTCATATCAGCCCGAGTGACCCCATATCAGCCCGAGGACCGAAGGCCCGAGGGCTGATATGGGGCCCGAGGGCTGATGTGACATATGATATGGATTTTAGTATGTAGTATTGTATTTATCATATATTTAAAATACTTAATATGCGAGTTCACATATGGTCATTGAAGAATGTTTGTGCTTGTTAGTGACATTTTTCTTTAAAATTTAATAGGGCCAATTTTAGGTAACTGGAAAAAAATTAAGACCACAAATGTCATTAAAGAATTATTTTATATGAAAATTTAAATAAAACCAAGTAAATTAACTTTTAAACTTAATACAAACGTTACTTCCGGTTTGATACGGATTTTCGGCCCGCCGGTCCGATACGTGATATGGCTTTTCGGACCGGTCCGTGATATGGGGTATTGTGACGTCACCCGTATCACACCGTGCAGAATTTGTGTATTTACTACTAAGTATATGATAAAGTCTTTTTGTATATGCGATATGGCTGACGTCACAATAGCTGTATCAGCCATGCAGGGCTGATACGGTTATTGTGACGTCAATACTTAGTAGCTATTGTGATGTGAATACTTAGTAATAAATACTATTAGTTACACAGTCAGTTAGTGACCTAATACGGATTCATACAGGGTGTGAAATGGAAATCCGTATTGGGCGAGGCGAAGCTCGGAGACGTAATATTGAAAATTTCAGGGCGTCGTGTGATGAGCTCTCATCCAATCAATTGTCTACAAATTTGTCTGAAGCGGGATAAAGTTTTTTGCATATGCGATATGGCTGACGTCACAATAGCCGTATCAGCCATGCAGGGCTGATACGGCTATTGTGATGTCAATATCACACGCTTAGTACATCCCCGCGTGACGTCATAGTATTCATTCCTTGTTTCCGTCTATTTTGGGTTCTCTTTTTACAAAGCGACTTATATTTCCGGTATGGTGTCGGGACATGGCGCCGAAAAACAAGAAGGGACGGTTTGTTAAAAAGGGACATGGTAAATAAGTAACTGCATTGTCTAAAGGTAGAAACACTCGTTGGAATTCTTGCTATTCAAGTTCGAATTCAGGGCCGATTTTATTCGCAGATCACAGTTACATAGCGTGTAGTGTAAACAAAGACCCTGTGTATAATGTTTCAAGACAAGAAGACGTTGTGACAACCTTATCTAACGATGAAGAACTTGGATGGCGAACAGAAGGGCGTGTTATTGAGTTAGGAACTTGAGCAGATGGTCTGAAAGCGTGTAAGCTATGTAGCCAGCCATTACATTTGATAAACACTGTTGGTGAGAGGAAATGTGGGCTAGCGCAAATTTTAGAAGTGAAGTGCACGTATTCGGAATGTGGCCTGGTTAATGACATTCCAAGTGGAAGTAAACATACAACAGAGAAAGGAGGACAGGCTTGGGATGTGAATACTAAGTTAGCTGCAGGTATATAATTTGTATTTGAATTTTTAAAAAAAGGAAAATTAAAATCATAATTGTACTAGATAACTTTAATGCTCCATGTGTGAATTTCAATTCAAGTACACATAGCATATATGATGCAATAAAAAAAATAAGCAATGTCTGTCCCAAAAATTATGCCAAAGCACTTCAACTGCAGGGATGATAAATGGAGGTTTTTGGGAGACACACATTAACAGTATTCTTACTGCCTTGAACATTCCAAGCATCACCTAAAAAGCACTTAAAAGGAGGGAGAGAGAAGTCGGACACCAACTTAACTTTATTGCAGATGAATCATGCAAGAAGCAGTTAAATAAAGAACTAGAAATGTAGGTATTGAACATGTTTGCATCATTGCATGTATATGATACTGAATAATAAAACATATAATAATTATCTGTATTACAGGAGTGATGGAAAACTGACCGTTTCTTTTGATGGTACCTGGCAAAAGCGTGGCCATGCTTATAACAGCCTAACAGGTACGACTTAGATAGTAACTCTTGTACCATAAATATATTTTTAATTTTGTCCTTTCCTTTGAAATTAAACAGATGTACAATAATAAGTGTTTTGCAGGACATGCCACATTATTTGGAAAAAAGCAAAGAAATGGAATAAATATTCTGTTAAAGGAAAGAGATGCAGAATATCTGATGCGGCAAAGGACAAAGGAGTTTATCCACGAAAACATAACTGTTCACGTAATTGGTCCGGTTCTTCAAAAGCCATGGAACCGGCCATGGCTTGTGAAATGGTGCAGAGTATTTATGACGATGGAGGAAAGGTACATATATATTTATGCACTGCATATGTATATTTATATAAGTTGCTATAGATAAAGCTACCACAAGATTCTTAAGTGCATTTGTGAACAGTATATTTGTATACTGATTTTAAAATTGAAATTTATTTATTGACGATCTCAGTATGTTAAAGTGTTTTATCGTTTAGGAGAACATGATGGTTGTGGCTTATGGTGCAAGAATGAAAAAAGGACTACAAACCAAGAAATTTACCTATTGGGAAACCATTGAATTGTCCAATTTTTTTTGATATGCCTTAGAAAACCTATTCCTAAGATATGCTGCAAAGGCAGATGAGCTTGCATCTCTTGGTTCGAATTCAACACAGGTCAACGAAAACTTTAATCACATGGTGTCATCAAAAGCTCCAAAACGATTGAAAGTCAAATTTTATGTTGGCGATTTTTTAAATAGTTTAAAGTATAAAAGGGTGCTGCTAATAAGAAATCTGCACCCTAGAAATTATGTATACTCAACATGATCAGGAAATTGCAAATCATAACAGGTTTTATGGAGGCTCAGAGAGTCTAAAGACTAGACTTTCAGCTACGTTTGTCAGAAAAATGATGGTCATAACTACATTACAGAGGTGACTTAAAGTTGCAGTGTTGAAAAATGTCACTTGATATTGTTGACAAGTTACAGCTGACTTTACAAAACCGTTTGTTTTTTTTAATTAAACACCGTAAGTCTTTCAATGTTCATTAACCTTTTGTTGAATTTGACAAATGAAAAATCACTTTAAAAATAATATAAGATTTTCAAATTGAAGTGTTAATGGCAATATTATACATATTAAGAAATCTTGCATGTCAAAATTTTAAGTAAATTTCCATTTTGTATAACAATCTTAAAAAGGAATGATGACATTTATCTCAGTGTTTTATCTCCTTATCTTTAATAAATTTTATTGCATTTTATTTTATTGATTTTTGTTACCTTTCAGTTCCAGTGTTCTTATTGCTTGCAATTGTCACTTTGACTCTGATTCATAAATTTATTTTCTCAAGTAAAAACTGTTTTTATGTATCTTTACCAATAAAACTAAATTTTAACATGATGTAAAATTGCTAGAGTATCTATCGTTTTTTTTTGTGAAACTTATTTTGATTTCATTTTATATTCAGTTGAACAAAAAATGCTCTGTATCCACTGGACAATTTACGCCGAAGCATGATAAAAAAATGGAGAAAAGATTGAAAAATCAGCGCCTTCGTCAGAGTTTATTTACTTCCAAAAGGCGACGACTGGAACTCAAGTCTCTGAGGGCAATGAAAAAATCCACGCAGTCTGTATTAGAAGGTATATACAATGATGTTAACTTGTAATTAGTACCAGTTTTAATGTAACCTTACACAGTTGTATAAAATCTTTTGAAAATGAGTAAAACATTAGCTATTCTGTTGCATACACGTGTCATTGTGTCTGCAGGTGATACATACCAGTCAAAGATTGGCATTGAGATTTAAATCTTGAGGACATCGATCTCACTCCAGTATCTTTTCCAGAGGATGGTAATGAAATTATTTTTGACTTGGAAACTACTGGTCTGGGTAAGTTCATTGTTTATGCTAATGTACTTGTTACTTATCATTTACTTAGAGTAAGGTACTATTGAAGTAACCATTTCATTTATTAATTGATATTCCAGAACTTAGTATAACGTTTCTGTCTTTCTTTAATGTCTGACTTTACTTTTCTTTCAGCTCGGACATCTGATATTATTCAGATAGCAGCAACCTCTGGAGACGGGAATTAAGGTGTTAATGTTCGGCCCTCTGGCTGATATTGGTGTCTCGGGCTGATACAGGATGTGATATGGAAAATGGTATGTATTATTCTCTAAATAGATACAGCTATAGTGGAGTGACAAACCTAGAAAAAGATGCTTTGCGTAGTTTTCGAGTTTCATGGACCGACATACCCTACGGCTGAAAGTTATATTTTATAAAAGAGACATCCCTTCTCATACATTTTCAATTTTCAATTTTTTTAACTTGCGATGAAAGTGAAAAGAAGGGGGATTTAAGTCGTTTGTTTTACTTGCTGATAATTTTTTTTTTCAAAGATTATTTATTGAAAAAAAAAATTCTAATTTGTGTGTGATAGGATAGCTACAGGCATCTAAATTTACAATGCAGAATTAATCAGGAACATTATTTGTCCCCCCCCCTTTTTTTTATAAAAATCTTCTGTTTTGTTACTTAGAAACTGCATTAATTTCAACAAAATATATTCAGAACAATTATTTCATGCAATATTGATAACGAATGTTGACTTAAGCGTTATAAAGATTTATAAGACAATGATTTCTGATCAAATAAACGGCATTTTTTTAAACACATCCTCACACTAAGTCTTGTATTCTACTTCTTAAATGTTTTGTGTAACTGGAAACGGATTATAGAATCCAATCATGTCTATGACAGTGCTTCCATCGATCAAGATATTGTTAGATATATTAAATTGGCTTCTATCATTAATAAGATAACGCTAATATTCAGTTTTAATTTAAATTAATGAGGATTTGAAACTGATTCTCGTTTTTCCTTAAATGTTTACTCTATTTTTTTTCCGTTTTGAATCTGTATAATATTGATAAAACAGAAAAAAGTATATCATTGAGGACTGTGCCTCAGGAAATAATCCTGACCTTGAAGAACTTTAATCTTGCTAACTTTGTCAATGGTGAACTTTAACATTATACTATTATACAGCAAAATTTTATATCAATTTGCAATTTTAGAAAAAAAGGTATTTATTTGTTCTTACCATCTGGCATCAACTGTTTAAGAGGTAAATGCCTTGCAGACTTAGAATTCAGAGTCACCTCTGCTTTCAGCGTCAAAAGTCCATTTTTAATCCTAGTATTACCTTCTGAAATGAATTCAATAACTCACTCAATAGATGTTCATATTAAATGCACATAAATTTGATAAAAGATCACACAAAATCACACACGGTACTGGCAGTAGTCTACGGTTTCTACAAATGGCCTCAAAATATAACGGAAAATATCTATGTAACGTCGAAAATTAAAGTATGCCCTGGATTATTATAAACAAGATTTAGACCCAAATGCAATTGAGTTGCAAGTGAATTTTTGGGGTTTTCTTTGCCAAGATTTAAAGCTGATATTTAAGGAATGACTCTAATTCTTGGCCAAATTATCGAGTATAATATGGTTTGGGTCAGTTTACGCTTTATAATCCGCAAAGCGGATTATAAAAAAGCGTAAACTGACCCAAACCATATTATACTCGATAATTTGGCCAAGAATTAGAGTCATTCCTTATAATTTAATTTTAAAATAATTAAACAACTGGGGGTGTGAAATTGTGTTGTTTTTATGAGTTCAAATTTACCGCGCAATAATACAACCGTAGTAACGGAAGTGATGGGAAACGAGGGGAGGTAAAAACTGATACATAGATCTAGCAGCCATGATGCTTGTTTACACGAGGTCAGATCGAGCTACTGTTTGAAGTTAAAGGTACATTCATTAAATCTGGAATTTTCCATGAATCCCAAGGACTGGAAATGAGGGGATTGATGGATACAGATGATTCAGCTGGTTGTCAAGGGGGTGTGTCCCCATACCAAACCAGATTATACAAAATGTTATGCATTCCTTTTTGGAAATCAACCAATGAGAGGCAAGAATACAAACAAAAATAAATTATTGGCTATTATTATGCTTCCTGTGAGTTTGTCTCTATATAACCCATATCCTACTATTCTCGCATCGTGTTCTAAGGATTTTTATAGCGTAAGCATACTATGCCGAAATAGTGCCCGGCTTCCATTTTTGTAGAAAATCCGACAACGCCCATACCGGGGTGCGAACTCACGACCCCGAGATTGTCAGTCCGACGCGCTACCGATTACGCCACAGACGCCGTTATCTATAGTATTGTACTATGATATATATAAACTTAGTTTCAAATATTTCACACTTAGGATTAAAAATAAACAAAATAATTCTTCTAAAATAGTTTCTTGCAACCCCCCTTCCTTCACTCAAATAATATTCTCTAAAACTATCTGTAGATTTTACCTAAAGCATGGAACGTTCAAAATAAAAGAAAAAGATTATGCCGTACAGGTTGCAGAAGGTGACGTCATAATAGAGTAGACGAATGTTTCAGATGATGAAACATTGGCAATGAAGAAAATATTGCCGTTTATATACAGTTACAACGGTCAGCATAATAATAGCAATAGTGTTGTGTTTTGCGTGCACTATGCCTAAATAGCAGTCAGTGTTTGACACATAGTGCACTCGCCTCCAGCTCGTGCACCATGTGTCAAACCCTGACTACTATTTAGGCATAGTGCACGCAAAACACAACACTATTATATAAATATGACACTCTTATTTCCTTTTTAGGAGTATGAATATAACCCAATTTTATTCAGAATATGGTTATATTTATTTTTAAAAAAGATCTTTAAGGTGATCCTTTATTCTATCACTATGTGTGGCTTGTGATAAATTAAATTTTAGAAACTTTTGTAATGGAAATTAAATTTGTGGTTGGTTGTTGATTCAGGAATGTAAACGCCTGCCTATATTTGACATCAAAAAAGAACAAATTCTCTTGACATGAAGTACAAATGAACTAAATATAATGATGCAACAAACACTCAATGACACACATTTTCTTGTATTTTTTTGGAACCAATAGAATCAGTCCTTTTCAAAAGAAGAAGTAATGCTTGGGTAATTGCTGAGTAAAATTATAATGAAATGAACTTATTCTGTACTTTAACAGACATGTACAACTGATAAAAACAATAAGAATATGGAGAGCTGATCCAAAGCAAGTAAACACAAGTTACAGAAATAAAGCGTTATGTATATATTTTAATTGTTATAATTAACCATAACACGTGAGGCGAATAAAATTGAATTTACGGCGAAAAATGTTCTGCACACTGGTGGGGGAGAATCAACATTGGTCAATCAAGTACATTTCACTCCCTTATTCAAGACAAATTCTTTTACAAATGTGTATATTTTATATACTTCATTTACAACCCTTTAGAGACGTGTTTACACACAAAAATAGTTCTCTTAAGATGGATTTGATTTTTTCCCGATGGCTGTGACTTACTAACTAGGGATATTTTCTTTTATATGACACCCCTAGAATGATCAGAAATTATTGTTGCATTGTAAATGCATTCATCAATCATTTGAATTGATGATACATTTTTTTTAGATCACTGAGTGTTAGTTAATCTTACCTTTTCCATACTACAGGATTGTTTTAACGTGCAAAAGTAGGCCTTAGTTTAAAAGGGAAACTGGCCTTATTTTTAATGCACTGATGCCGGCTGACTTGAAAAAAAATATCGTCTTTCAATGAAAAAGGACACAAGTAAATTATTTGCATAACCTTGGAATTCGTAATTGAGGTGGTTTGAAACTTGAGTATGGTTTGTTGAAGAAATTTGCGTGTGTTATTTGAAGGTCGTAGATTTCTAATAGACTTTGTAAAAAATTACCCTGAAAGGAAATATACAGGGAAAAATCATTTCATCATTTTCAGAAGGATAAGAATTTTACTAATTTTATTTCAATGATAAAAAAATTTATTATGCTTCCTGTCAGTTTGTCTCTATATAACCCATATAACCCATACCCTACTATTTTCGCATAGTGTTCTAAGGATTTATATAGCGTGAGCATACTATGCCGAAATAGTGCACGGCTTCCATTTTTGTAGAAAATCCGACAACGCCCATACCGGGGTGCGAACTCACGACCCCGAGATTGTCAGACCGACGCGCTACCGATTACGCAACAGACGCCATTTTCTATACCATTGTACTATGATATATATAACTTAGTTTCAAATATTTTACTTAGGATTAAAGATAAACAAAAAAATTCTTCTAAAATAGTTTCTTGCAACCCCCTTCTTTCACTCAAATAATATTCTCTAAAACTATCTGCAGATTTTACTTAAAGCATGGAACAAAAAGATTATGACGTACAGGTTGCACAAGGTGACGTCATAATAGAGTAGACGAATGTTACAGATGATGAAACATTGGCAACGCAGGGGGAATAAGGAAGCATACAAAATATTCTACCTTGGCTAAATCAGTGCTGCATTATGACGTATTAGTAAGCAAGATGATGTCAATTTTAGAAATCAGGATACCAGTGTGTACATCAGGTAACTTGGAAATTGATCATGTCGTGTAAAGAGAATTTGGCTAAGACAGCATGTTCAAAGATACGTAAAATGGAGTTTATAAGGAAATATCGGAAATATTGTTTTAAATTCATATGGAGTTCAATTAATTTAACAGGTGTGCTAATTCATTTTCATCGATTATATTCTCTTTCGAAGACAGTCAGCTATTTTACGTATCCCGGTCGGCCTATCGTTCGTCATATTTGACCAAAAAATGCAACAGAACAACAATAAGCTGGATATTTCGAAACAAACGATTTGTACAGATTGAAAGTTTGCGTTTTGACAAACTTGGTAAGTGCTGCTAGAATCCCGAGTAAAGCATAGTTGTACGAAAAATCTCGCTTCATATGTATATCATTCAAAACAAAGGGAAAGGTTTCGTGCAATTGTGTGGAATAAATATTTTACGGACAAGATAGTTGGATTCTAGCAGCACTTATTAGACAAAATAGATGTTTTTCAGCTATATTATACACTTAAAGAAATTATCAAACTCCGGGGTATTGTTGTTCTGTAAGCCTTTTTATTAAGGAAAATTTTGCTATTAATAGAAGTCACGTGATGCCATGGCGGTCATACACGTCTTTGCGTTAGACACGCTTTTATCTGTATGCAATAGTAAATAACAGTTTATGTTTATCAGTGATTTTGGTAATTTATTAAACTAAATTTTCTTTAAAAAGTCTAAATTTCCCGAGAAATTACTTATTATGCTTCCTTAACATACCAGCGAATGAAGAAAATATGCCGTTTTTATATTGTTACAACAGTCAGCATAATGATAACAACAGTGTTGTGTTTTGCTGCACTATGCACATAATGTGTCAAACCCTGACTACTATTTGGGCATAGTGCACGCAAAACACAACGCTATTAAATAAATATGACACTCTAATTATCTTTCAGGTCTTTAAGATCTTTAAGGTGATCCTTTATTCTATCACTATGTGTGGCGTTGTGATAAATTAAATTTTAGAAACACATATAATGGCAATTGAATTTATGGATGGTTGTTGATTCAGGAATGTAAACGCCTGCCTATATTTGACATCAAAAAAGAACAAATTCTCTTGACATGAAGTACAAATGAACTGAATATAATGATGCAACAAACACTCAATGACACACATTTTCTTGTATTTTTTGGAGGCTTTTGGTTTTATAAGCTTATAAGTTTATAAAGCTTATGTTGGAAAGAGGGGTTTATTCGGATTAGACCTATCCGCCATTATTGTTTCTAAAATTATGTTGCTACAATTTGATTGGTTGTTTTTTTAGTGGGGATTCAGCTACTTAGCAGTTCGCTAAGTTTGTAAAGGAAATTGTATCGTAATTTATTTGGCCCGTTTCACGGACTTTCAATCATACTCTAATTTCAATCATAACCTAATAATCACCGTACGCTACCAAAATGTCGTGATATGTGTTTTTGTGAATTGGTGAACGTGAAACATTTACAAATCAATAAGATTGTGGACCCTGTACATTTCGGACGCTGAGGATCAAGTTTCAAATCATGGCTGACCGAGCTCGAAGTCGTAGACGTCCTACCCATCTAATCGCTGGGATGAGAGCAACACAAACAATTGAACAACCCAACGATATATCGAGGAACTGGCTAAGCTGGGTAGTCGTGTCCCTGCCAACATTGGGAAAGTCGTAATGAAGAAACTTTATCTGGAGAATCGAGGAATACCCCCCGCGAACGCAGATGCCCGGATAAGTGTTTAATCGATGGAAGAGGACGTCGCAAATGCCGTGATTGTGCCTCCAAGTACGGAACCAACTCCAGAGAATACTAACAGAATTGAAACGACCAGAGCAACTATTTCAAGCGAAACACCACCGGGGGAAGGATCGAGATCTAGCGCATCAACCAATGTTGCATCGGGATCGAGAGCCAATTTATCCAATATGGCGGCCTCCTCGAACAGTGACATAATCTGCAGCATGCTGAACACCATGTAGAGCATGCAACAGAGAGATATTGGCCTTCTCATGATGGTAGTAGATAACGCTACCGCAAACAAATGCTCCACTTGTTCATCAAGAATGCACCTCTCAGCGTTTTGTCCCCAAGTACAACAGAACATCATTCCGGTTATCGGCCAGTCCATGCGAAGTTATCCAACCAACAAAAACCAAACAACCGACAAATACGGTCAAACACGCACCATGGCTTTTTTCATTTAAGAAAGATAGACTATTTTTACAATTTTTTGTTAGAAACTGTATGTACCGTTGCATTTTTTGGCTTTTTGAGATATGGAGAATTTAAATGTAAAGAAGTATTTGATCCTTCTATACATCTTTGTATAAGTGATTTATCTATCTTTGAGGATTGTGTACTTTTACAACTCAAAATTTCTAAAACTGACCCATTCAGGAAAGGAGTCATCATTAAATTGTTTTCTACAGACAATATTATTTGTCCTTTCGCTGTATGTTGTAAATATTTAAAGGGAAGGTACAAATTGTCATGTTCTCCACAAAGTCCATTGTTCGTAAATCAAAATGGTGCCCCTTTGACAAGAGTTGAATTTATTTCAGCCTTTAAGCATGTGTTAACTTGTATAAGTTGTGATGTGGATGTGTATAATAGACATTCTTTCGGTGCGGCTACAACTGCAGCTTCTGTCCATGTGGAGGACGATATTATTAAAACATTAGGAAGATGGGCCTCTGACGCCTATTGTAGATACATTAGATCTCCAGTATCTGTGTTACGAGATGCTCAGCGTTCCTTAGTACTGTAGATTCATAGGCTGATCACACTACTTCCTATCTCACTACAAACTTGTAAAAAAAAACAATTAAGCTTGTAACTTTACCTTTAGATGTTATAATGTTAGCCTTATATATATTACTGGTTTATCATACACAATTTGGCATCATTTTTGGGGCACTCAGTCTCATATCTATAATGTACACAAGTATTTACATTTGTATCTATTCAACTGACTTTTGGCCACCATTTAATAAATTGTACGAATGCTGTAACAATTAATTAAAATTTCCCCAAAAATTATGTTTTATTTTGATTCTGACTTCCCATTGTAGAAACCCAACGCAACACGACAATTTCTTAACGAGGCTAGGGTGTGGCAGCCATTTTTAGACTATTTCAATCTCCTTTAAAAGGAGAGCTCCATATAGAGATATACAAAATGATCAAATTTGAAAACTAAAATATATGATTTTTTTCTTTGCCAAATGATAGTTGACAGCTAAGGATTCCGTATGTAAAAAAAATAATTTAAATCTGGTGGTTAATTTGGGATTATATTGTTGACCCATCAGCCTCCTTAATATGCTAATATTTCATAAGAAGTTACACCGAGTTAATAAGGTATCAACATCCTTCCATGGTTCTCTTCCGACTCTTGTAGCCCGGAACTGGTTTCTCACAGCCTTCCACAGCTGCTACACCGAGTTGAGATCCACTGGAAGTAGGGCTAGTCTCAAGACTCACTAGTTACACCGAGTTGACTGGTACAATTGAGCTGTACCTTTCTTCCGGCTCCTGCGACTGGACTGATGTCTTGAACTAGTTATTAGCTATTGGAATTAATGGCTGAGTCTGCTCCTGCTGATGCCAAAGTAATGTGTATTTTGTGTTACATTTTATTGTATATGTTTAATAGATGTATTCTGGAATATTGTATTGTAGATTAATAAACTTTGTACATTTATTCAGAATTCTGGTTTTTATCCAACATAAATTGAACTAATAGAATCGGTCCTTTTCAAAAGAACAAATAATGCTTGGGTAATTGCTGAGTAAAATTATAATGAAATGAACTTATTCTGTACTTTAACAGACATGCACAACTGACAAAAACAATAATAATATGGAGTGCTGATCCAAAGCAAGTAAACACAAGTTACAGAAATAAAGCGTTATATATATATTTTAATTGTTATAATTAACCATAACACGTGAGGCAAATAAAATTGAATTTACGGCGAAAAATATTCTGCACACTGGTGGGGGAGAATCACTTACCAACATTAGTCAATCAAGTACATTTCACTCCCTTATTCAAGACAAATTCTTTTACAAATGTGTATATTTTATCTACTTCATTTACAACCCTTTAGAGACGTGTTTACACACAAAAATAGTTCTCTTAAGATGGATTTGATTTTTTCCCGATGGCTGTGACTTACTAACTAGGGATATTTTCTTTTATATGACACCCCTAGAATGATCAGAAATTATTGTTACATTGTAAATGCATTCATCAATCATTTGAATTGATTATACATTTTTTTAGATCACTGAGTGTTAGTTAATCTTACCTTTTTCCATACTACAGGATTGTTTTACGTGCAAAAGAAGGCCTTAGATAAAAAGGGAACTGGCCTTATTTTTAATGCACTGAAAAAATATCGTCTTTCAATGAAAAAGGACACAAGTAAATTATTTGCCATAACCTTGGAATTCGTCATTGAGGTGAAATGAAACTTGAGTATGGTTTGTTGAAGAAATGTAGGTGTGATGATTTCATTATTTGCGTGTGTTATTTGAAGGTCGTAGATTTCTAATGGATTTCATAAAAAAATTACACTGAAAGGAAATATACAGAAAAAATCATTTAATCATTTTCAGAAGGATAAAGAATTTTACTGGTTATATTTTAATGATATAAAAATTTTTTATGCTTCCTGTCAGTTTGTCTCTATATAACCCATACCCTAATATTCTCGCATCGTGTTCTAAGTTTTATATTGCGTAAGCATTCTATGCCGAAATAGTGCCCGGCTTCAATTTTTGTAGAAAATCCGACAACGCCCATACCGGGGAGCAAACTCACGACCCCGAGATCGTCAGTCCGACGCGCTACCGATTACTCCACAGACGCCGTTATCTATAGTATTGTACTATGATATATATAAACTTAGTTTCAAATATTTTACACTTCGGATTAAAAATAAAAGAATTATTCTTCTAAAATAGTTTCTTGCAACCCCCCTTCCTTCACTCAAATAATATTCTCTAAAACTATTTGTAGATTTTACCTAAAGCATGGAACGTTCAAAATTAAAAAAAAAAAAGATTATGACGTACATGTTGCATAAGGTGACGTCATAATAGAGTAGACGAATGTAACAGATGATGAAACATTGGCAGTGAAGAAAATATTGCCGTTCTTATACAGTTACAAGAGTCAGCGTAATAATAACAATAGTGTTGTGTTTTGCGTGCACTATGCCTAAATAGTAGTCAGCATAATAATAACAATAGTAGTCAGCCTCCGGCTCATGCACCATGTGTCAAACCCTGACTACTATTTAGGCATAGTGCACGCAAAATACATCACTATTATATAAATATTGGGACCCAAAAGTGGTAGTAGTAGTGGAGAAGGGGATGTTTATTGCTCCATTCAATTTTGACTTTTAAAGACAACAGTACTAGTGTTTGTAGCCATCCATCCCTCCAAGTCGGAAGATTTCTAAGGAGATCCTGTAAGAAGGAAATTTCCACAGTATATTTGTTTAAAGTAGAATTGTAAGAAGAATATTGAGTTTATTTTTTGCTATTTGTGTGGTCCTCACCTACCCTTCTGGGACATAAAACTGCATTAATTAAGTATGCTTTTGTATCATTATTACTATCATAACTTTTCTGTTCTTATTAGAAGATCTTTTAAATATGTTTCTTCAAAGTCTTGTTTTACCATGTCAAACTTTGATCGACCATTGTACATGGCTCCATCCTATCCTCTGAGATCATGAGTTGAACCATCTTGACTCTACACTACCGGACCAGTCGAGAATTCCATACAACCAAGCATATTTTGTTTTTTGAGAAGAAGAGTTTTTACTATTTTTCCTATGTATTTCATTGTAAAAATTTGATTGCCAATCGTCGCTCCATCATACCACTGAAGGTCATGATTGGAACAAATCTTAGTTGATTCGATACGGGAGAGCATGCTCTACCTTTGAACAATTTCTTATATGAGCTAAATTATTGGCAAGTTACTGAAACAAAAATATAAGAATTCTCGTTTCTATTACAATTTCACTTTAAAATGTACCTAAGGAGGCTTTTATATTCCAATGACGAAGAAAGGCTTAATTATATATTTTGCAAGTTTTTTTTAGATATATTTTATTTTTATTCACTCTTTGATCTCCAATTGTGACGCCATTACACCCCCAGAGGTCATAATTTGAATAAACCTGAATCTTCACTACCTTAAGATAATCCGATCCTCAGGTTCTGAAAATCAGGCATTGAGCAATTGAAAATGCTCCGAAAGATGTCTCTAAATTCTCGAAGTAAAATATATTTACCCACGGTGTTTCTTAAAACTTCATCTTTAAAGTTAATCATATAATGTAGGGAAAATTAGTAAATCTCAAATAAATTTTCAGGAAATGCGATTAGAACTACCTACTGCATATTTTCTATTTGATAATTGATCAATAAATACATTTTAGGAATAAAAATCATAGATATCCAGGCTTTTAAAAAAAATTGCATGATTTTTATACCTATTCAATACTTTTGTTTCTCCTAATTACTTCCATCGTATTATAATGCATAGTGTATGAAGTGTTTCCCATCAAAGAAAACACCATAAATCACTTCTAATTTCAAATCATGTTATTAAACATTTGTAACTAAGGTTGAATTAAAAAGAACTTTGATTTCATTTTAAATATGCAAGTTTTACTTACTTTTATGAGGTACAAATGTCAACTTTTTAAATACCGTTTATAAATACTTTAATATTATAAGTATTATACTTAGAGACATAAAATAAAAATTGTTGCATGAAAAAAATTAAGTTTCAAGCTGTATTTGAAGACTTTTTGAATTAAATTACAAATTAAAGAGTTATTCTTCCTTGCTGAGGATCTGATATCCTAAAAATTAATATTTATTATACTGTAATCCATATATGACTAACTGTGACTTGGCTATTCTAGAGAAAAAAGATTTAAAAATTTTTCGATAATATTTCAAATACTCCTTTTAGTATTCCCAATTTAATTCCAATTTTGGCTAACTCTACATCGAGGGGTCGTGATTTGAACGAATTATTTTTGTAAGGATGCAAAACAATTCATTCGTTTTATACATGACTTTGTTGATCTGAGATTTTTGATTTTTTACAATATATCCATAACTAAAACTTTGACTCCCAAGTTGGCCCCATTATAACCCCAGGTGTCATTTCCTGCAGATAATTTGAAATCAGTAAGACATTATAGTCTTTTTATTTTTGCAAAGATGATTTTCTTTTTTAAACATTTCAATAATAAATTCCTTTGCAACATAATACCCACCCCCCTCCCTTCATGGACCCACCTTATTTACCTGAAGGACTCAAGAGTTAAACAAATTAAAATTTACACTATCTTATTAAAACTATGATCCCCCATTATGTTCCCGCTCTACTACCTAAGGTTAATATTTAAATAAATTTGAATCTTTGCAATCTGAGGATGCTTGTATATTTTTATGCCTAATTATAACCTTGTTGTTTTTCGGCAAGATGATTTTTCCCATTTATTTATACATGTATTCCAATCATGTGGCCCAATCTTTACCCAGGAGAGGGGCATAATTAAGCCTTTGTTAATACGCTACCCGAAGATGATTTCAAATCAATATGACTTAGCATGGGTTTGTTATTGATGAGAAAAAGATTTTACAGATTTTCAATATACAATTCTGTATAAAAATTTTAATTACCCATTGAAGTCCCAATGAAGTAATAAAGATTCCAGATATGTCTCAAATTTTCTTGCCCAAGAGTTTTTTAAATTGAATTTTAAATCTTTTAAATTCATTTTTTAAAGATGACACCATTTTTTATTAGTCTGTAATTATCTCCCCTTGAAATAGGGTGTGGTCCTTCATACGAAGAAACATTATTTTTCCTCACCCAAGGACGTTTGTGGTAAGTTTGATTAAATTTGACCTGTGGTTCTTAAGAAGTTGAAAATTTGAAAAAAAGTACACTGACTGACAGATAGTCAGCTAGGCAGATGCACACCGGACAAAATGTGATCAGGAAAGTTCACTGGAGTTTTCCGATCAGGAGTGCTTTACAGATACACACAAATCAAATAAATGATATTTTACATGCACCGTATATACTAGCCTGTAAGTCGGATTTTTGGGAGTTAATCTCTGGTCCAAAACTCTATGTCCGACTTATAGGCAAGCTAATTAAAATGAATGGTATTTTATGAGGTCCGTCCCTCTGATATATAAGCTTATTAAATACAATCGACTTATAGGCGAGTAAATACGGTACCTAAAAGTCATTTATTCAATTCTGTCCATAAGGCATATAATATGTACCTACCTTTCCTTTGAACTATTCCCTCTATCTCCAGTCTGAAAAAAAAGGACAAGGGGCTCTCATTGCTTGTACAAATGTCGGATTTCCAAGGCCTTAACTGAGAGGAACCATCCCAGACTTTGAACTGAAAATTGAAAAAAAAGATCATTTACATTTATTTGATTCCTTATTATTACCAAGTGAGTAATCAAGAATTTATTTATGACATCAGCAAGTCATGGTTATCTGGAGCAAAACAGGTTTAATTCATGGTGTTTTCACTTATATGACACCTCTGAAGGTTTTGAGGTCCGAGCTTGATCTGTTCCTATTTTGTATTAATTGTTTAATTGCTTTAGGAGCCTGAATAATGTTTGTTATCTCCTATCTTTATTATTATTTTTTATTATATCTTTTATTATAATCCTGTGCTTGAGAGTGACCTTCTGTCTCGAATTCTCTACACAGTGAAAACCTAAAAGCTTTGTTGTAGAATAAACAAAAGCACGTGCAAGTGTTTTCTTCGATTGGTAGAATCATCTCTACACCAAGAAAGAAAATCAGTGGTGGCTTTATTGTACTTCGAACTCATGGGACAGCAACATCAATAAACAGAACAATGAAATATGTTTAAGTCTATTTTCATGCCTTATAAAATATTTAACAGATTTTTTTATTTTTAAATACCATGGTTACACTGTTCATCGATCTCAAAAGTCGACATACAGAATAACTATCATAATGTTCATATCTTTATGTATAAATTAGTGTAGTCTACTTGTTTGCCAAGTAAGATTACTCTATCTGAGGATACTTCCATATATTACAAATGGCTTTCTTGTTTTTGTTCAGGGATTTGTTCATACATATTCCTTTTAAAAAATTTGATCCACCATTCTGGCCCTTCCATACCACCTGCTTTCTGATTTTAACAAATTTGAATCTACACCACCTGAGAATGATTTCATTTTATGCAATTAATTTAACTGTTTTTTTTTTTAATTTCTTCCATAGTGTTTCCTATGGAAAACTTTGCTCTCCCATAATACTGTTGTTGCCTCATCCTACCCCAAGACTCATGATTTCATCAAAACTGAATCTACACCATTTTCTTTGTCCTGATGAAGGGACAGGGCGTCCCGAAAATTTGACAATTTTTATTGTTCGTGTCGTTGGTCATAAATATATTTTTAGTGCTTTATATACCTTGGTAAATTTCCATCCGTGGTCTTGTCTGTACTTGGTAGATCCGACATTTAGGATATACAGTGTTGTTGGTTTTTTAATGCTTTTGATTATTACATTAACATATACATTGTGAGACTTTGTCCCCCCAATGTGGACCTTGCGTGTCTCCAGAGGTCATGTTTTCAACGGTGTTGAATCTACATTATCTGAGAATGCTTCCACATCAATATGACTAAACATGACTGCGATGTTTTTGAGATTTTTCAATTATATTAACTTGAACAAAAAACCCGTAAAATTTTACATCAACTGAGGACACTTCTAAAAAAGTATGAACAATCAGGGATAGGCTGTTCTTCAGAAGACGGTTTTAAAAGGATTTTTCCATACATTTCCATGAAAAACTTTGATAGACCGTTTGGCCCTCTTCACAAGAAGATTTGTAAAATATGACTTCAAAAGTTCGCCCGTTTTAAATAATTTCCGTTTGGAAGAGTACGTGGTCCTTTATTTGATCAAACGGGCATTCCCTTTACCAAATGATGCTTTATGGCAGGCAAATGTGTTGAGAACAAGTAAAAAAAAAAATAAAAAATCACAGAAATTCACTCAGCGGCTCATGTGAAGAAAATGAAATTGTGAAATATTACGACGACGACGACGACAGATGGCACAGACAAATTTCAACAAGAGGCCCGTGGGCCACATCGCTCACCTGAACAATGTGGCTAGGAAAAAGCATAAATCAGTTTATTATTGAAACCCAATAGTGGTCCCAAACAATCTTTATAAGGGAGAGGGTATGATTTGAACAAACATGAATCTACACTAACTAAGGATGCTTGCATATTTCTTTGACTACCTGTAGTGTTATTGTCCTTTACATTTGAACTTACATTGTGGCCCCGCTCTACCCCCAGGGGTCATGATTTGAACAAAATTGAATCTACACTGCCTGAGAATGTTTCCATATAATTAGGACTAATCATGGCTTTGCTATTTTTGAAAAGAAGATTTATAAAGATTTTTTCTACATGTTTCAATCTATGTAAACTAAACTTGGATTCCATGTTGTGGCCCCGCCTTACCCCCAGGGCTCATGATTTTAACAAAATTGAATCTCCACTACCTGAAGATGCTTCCATAAAAATATGAACATTCATGCCTCTGCTATTCCAGAGAAGAAGATTTTTAAAGATTTTTCTATTTAAAATTTTGATCAGTCCCGCCCTACCCCAGGGGGGTCATGATTTGAACAAACTTGAATCTGCACTACCTGAGGATGCTTCCCTATAAGTTTCATCTTTCCTGGCACAGTTGTTCTTGAGAAGAAGATTTATAAAGAATTTTTCTGTACATTTCTATGTAAAACATTGATCGGCCAATGTGGCCCCGCTCTACCCCCGGGGGTCATGACTTGTGCAAATTTAAATCTAAACTACCTGAGGATGCTTCCCTATAAGTTTCATCTTTCCTGGCACAGTGGTTCTTGAGAAGAAGATTTTTAAAGAATTTTCTTATATATTTCTATGTAAAACTTTGATCAGCCTTTATGATCCCGCCCTACCCCCGGGAATCATGATTTGAACAAACTTGAATCTACACTACCTTCCCTATAAGTTTCATCTTTCCTGGCAAAAGTTCGTGAGAAGATTTTTAAAACATACCATCAATTTTTCACTATTTCTGAATTATCCCCTTGAATAAGGGCGTGGCCCTTTATTTGAATAAACTTGAATCCCCTTCCCCAAAGGATACTTGTGGCAAGTTTGGTTGAAATTGGTTCCGTGGTTCTTGAGAAGAAGTAAAAAATGTGAAAAGTTAACAACAACAATGACGACGAAAGACAAAGGACAAATTTTTATCAGAAAAGCTCACTTGAGCCTTCGGGTCAGGTGAGCTAATAAAAGGAAAAGGCTCACTTGAGCTTTCGGTTTAGGTTAGCTAAAATCCTGTGCAAGTCTTGTTAAGTTTTATTCTGTAGCATCGGAAAATTTAAAAATAAGATAGAAAAACCTGGGGTAAACTCTTTCCACTGTTATTGGCAAACAGAATTTAAAAAGTCTACTGACAGGTCGCATCTCAGCCAATCAACTGTTTCAATCATTAATACTTCAAACAATGTTTGCATTTGAACAAATGTCACCATACTATAATAACAAGATCTTGTTTACACAAGGAAAGCCAGGACATGCTGCTCGAAAAACGAACAAAACACATTTGTATCTCGAAACACAATTTCAAAATGATGCTTGTAAAATTTAAATTAACCGATCAGAGAAAAGCAATTGATTTAAATTTTAAAATTTAAATAAATGATGCTATACCTATCGTACCCCACTACCTCTTCCCTTTTATGATTTTAATACTTTAGAATCTATACTACCCCAGGATGCTTCGACACAAGTTTCAGCTTTCCTGGCCCAGTGGTTCTTGAGAAGAAGATTCTAAAAAGATTTTTCCTAAATACAGTGTATATCTATGTAAAACTTGGATTCCCCATTGTGGCCTCGCCCTACCCCCAGGGTCATGATTTTAACAACTTGATATCTACACTACCCAGGGATGCTTCCACAGAAGTTTCAGCATTCCTGGCTTAGTGGTTTTGAGAAGATTTTTAAAGATTTGTTCTATATATTTTCAATGTAAAATTTGGATTCCCTATTGTGGCCCCGCCCTACCCCTTGGGGTCATGATTTTTACAATTAAATATTTACACTACCCAAGGATGCTTCCACATAAGTTTCAGCTTTTCTGGCCCAGTGGTTTTTGAGAAGAAGATTTTTAAAGATTTGTTCTATATATTTCTATGTAAAACTTGGATTCCCTATTGTGGCCCCGCCCTACCCCCGGGGGTCATGATTTTAACAATTTAATATCTACACTACCCAAGAATAATTCCACATAAGTTTCAGCTTTCCTGGCCCAGTGGTTCTTGAGAAGTAAATTTTTAAATATTTGTTCTATATATTTCTGTGCAAAACTTGCATTTCCTTTTGTGGCCCCGCTCTACCCCCGGGGGACATGAATTTTACAATTTAATATCTACACTACCCAAAGATGCTTCCATATAAGTTTCAGCTTTCCTGGCCCAGTGGTTCTTGAGAAGAAGATTTTTTAATGACCCCACTCTAATTTTGGCTTTTCTTGATTATCTCCCCTTGTAAGGGGACGTGGTCCTTCATAAGATCATTAAAAATTTAAACTCCCCTTTACCCAAGGATGCTTTGTACCAAGTTTTGTTAAAATTGGACCATTGGTTCTTGAGAAGAAGTCGAAAATGTGAAATATTTACAGACGGACAGACGGCAGGAAACTAGCCTCCATGTTAGTATCCGCTTAGGGGCATTTTCTGGCTAATAGCGAGAGTTTCTCGCCAAAGTCGGGTCTTTCTCAGAAATCGGGAGCTCTCATTTATTGAAATAAAATCTGATCGGGTTGAATCTTGCAGTATGTTCGCCGCATTCAGGCGTTTTCCAACATTTTTCTGGAAATCACCTTTCCTCGGCCGAAAGTTGAGAGTTTCGCCGATTTTAGACAATTCGATCCAATTTTAATACAGAAGAAATATATTTAAAAACTATGTCCAAAAAATAATTTTAAAAAAATAATATATTGAAAAGAAATCAATAACTCGTCGTCCACAAAATACAATAATAATACATGGAAAATATCAAAGTCAGATTTCAGTAAAAAAAAAAAAATAATAAGAGACCCATTTTTGTGATAGAAAAATTACATATTTTACTGTATTACTTTTTTAAAGTACTAAATGCAAAATTAACACATGTATTAGATTAAAAATATACTATTTTTTTATATGAGGAGGATTCATCACCGTTGCTCCCTTGAATTTAAAATAAATGGACAGAACCATTTCATTCTAGATTCTCTAGGAAAAGTTACAAATGGGAAAAATTAACACACAACATAAGATACATGAAAGATGAATGATGGATTCTTCTTGATCAGAAAAGCTACATAATTTAATTAAGTCTTTGAGTCAGGTCCGAAGCAAAAAAAAAAAACAACTTAACTCAACCAACTTAGTTCTGCCCAAGTATCTAAACTCAAAGCCATATATGATGACTGAATAATCCCAAGTCTCTTCGTGCCCACTTTCAAGATATGTTATATCGCACACCTCTCCTAAAGAAAGATGAAATAAAACACGAGCAAGCTGTTATTATTTCAATACTTTTGTGGCATTATTTCAATTCAAAATATAGTTGTGCAGTGTGTATCTAATTCATATAAGAAAAATAATGTATCGTTACAAAATTCATTCTAACCAGAACTCCCAGTACATTTGCAATTAAAACATCAAGCTACATATAATTGCCTAAAATCATATTGTTTTGTTAGGAATAAACTCTAGAATGCACAAAAATGTTAACAATTTTGGATTAGGGGAAATTAAGTAAAATTAACTTCAATTATTTTGTAAAAAAATATACTAATGAAAAGGGACATAACTCGATATCTTTTTTATTGATCAGATATTTTCGTTTTTACCTCATCAGTTCATGTTTCTGCATAAAGCAAGAGGAAAGGGATTAAACTAATATTATCTAGACAAGAAAAATATTTGTTATCAAACAATAAAAATCTTTCAAAATTTAAACATCATTTCAAAGTGTAGTGTGGTTTATCTCCTCATAATGATAAAATTTAAGGTAGAGGTTATTAGAATATACTTCTGTTTTGTTTCTCAGTCTCTTTGTACATGTACTAATTATTTCAAGCATGTTTATTAATAATGAAATGAAAAATGATAAATGAAATGATTAGTGAATGCTTAATCATTTCATTTTATGTCAATTTAAAGGAAATTTAACTAAACATTTTCTATATTGATTAGCCGTCTTTCAAAAAAAATTATCGGTTCTGAAAATACAGTCAGTAGAACACGTGCACCTGACTAATGATGCTTGAGTCCCGGGTTCGATTCCCGGTTAAGCCACACATTTTCTCCCCAGTCCTAGCTGTGACACAAACAAGTATACATCTTAAAGACTATACTTTTCTCTTCCCTTTCCTCAATTTTAATGTTAGCGGAGAGGAATACTTTTAACTCTTCCATATTCAGTTGTAATGCATTATTGTGAGCAGTCAAATCAAAAGACAATGAGGCACGTGGGACGTTTCTGTCAAGAAAGAAATTACTAACAAATTGAATCATAATTTTCTATGTACAATGTGGAGTAAATAATAAACAATTTTATTGTCAGGCTTCTTATCACCGATGGTTGATAATGATTTTTCTCTAAGTGACATGCTGGATCAAAGACATGAAATAAAATCAGAGTAAAGACATCGTTCTTTTAATTGTTTTAAGGAAAAATATTCTTAAGACTTGATACCAATACATGATTTCTTTTAACACTAGTAGCTTCATTTCAATATTACTTTGAAAAAAAAAACAGTACTTGAGTTAACATTCTTTTACATACGCAACAAGGGCAATCTCCATTTTCATTCAACTTCTTGTTTTGCTCTTGCTGGAATAAAAACAAAACTTTACAATTATTACAAATTCCATTTTTTCACAATTTATTGTCGAATTACAAATGTTAAATCTATGAAAATCCCACTGAGTTAGCATACTACAGAATATGTTGCCTATGATATACCGTAGAAAGATTTTAAATGGCTTCTGTATCGAAAACGAAAGTAGCCTGATGATAAAATTTTATTCGGAATGAGTATACAATTTGTAAGTTTTACTTTACTTTATTTTCATTTATTTATTTAATTTGACAAAAAACACATGTGGCTCAAGTCATGCATACAGTAAACAAATAGTATCTGCCTTTATTATCATAAATGATTGTTTTACAATAACAACTTTGAAAGGTTATAAGGAATCGAAATTGCATGTTCGAGATCAGCAAAATTTATGACAATTTTTGTACTTTCACGAGATAGAAGAGTCAAGGATTAATGAGCGCATGTTTGTTACTCTTGTGACTGTGTGTTAGGTAAGTGCTCAATATTAACCTGTGCGTACGTCTTGCACCGAAAGAAAAATCAAATAACGTTTGCAGTAAATTGACTTTAAAATTTATTTTTCTGAAACAGTCCTTGTAGACAATTGCAATGATTAGTATATAATACTCTGTAGACACCGCTGCATTTGTTTGTTGGGTTTTTTTTTTTGGCGGAAATGTGATTTTTTAACACAGCAATTCATGCAAGTGTATGCCATTAATTTAGGTCGTTTTCCACAAGTAAATCTATATAAAATCTTTAACTTCTGAACCTATGCCTTTTATTTTCCTTGTTACAGCTACGGAGTCCCATCTTGGCTAATGGAAAATTAAATTTTATTTGAATTAATGTGTACTTTTATAAATATACCTCTACTCTTTTGCCGCACATAACTGTGCATTGTTATGAAGTGTAAATATTT